AAATGAAAGAAGGTTTCATCAAATCTTGCTTGTCGCGTATGTATCACCTTGTTGGTAGCTGGATTGAATACCAAGTACCCTGGCTGGTAACCCATGTGAGCCTCTGAATTTCCCAGGTTAACAGCAGTAATAGCAGGCATATCATTCTTCAATTTCTCCTCGTTGGCAACAAATACCGTACATCCGAATACCTTCAGTTTATCATAGTCGAATTCTCGTCCCTGATAAAGTTGCCATGGAGAGAGGCCGTCCCGATTCGTCAGGTTGGGTAAACTGTTGAAGATCAGCGTTGCTTGTTGGACGGAGAAGTGCCAGAAGCGCTGCGGGACTTGTGCTTGGTACGAGATTGCTCGATGGATGGTAGTCACTGTTCGGATCGCCCTCTCTGCTCGACCGTTGGCAGCACTTGTGTAGTCCGGGGTAAAATTCCAGATGATCCCCTTCATCTTCACGAATGACTGCAACTGGAGGTTTGCAAACTCCGAGCCGTTGTCGCTCACTACTGTTATGACTGCTGGTCGACCTGAGCGTTCTTCCTGCAAGATCAAACTCTGCATGACTTCCTTAGTTTCGCCTTTGAACGTCAGTGGAATCGTTATAATAAATCCACTGTAGGCATCGACCACGACCAAGAAGTAACGAAATCTTCCTGGCTCCGAGACTGTTCCCATGTCTTTCAAATCCACATTCCACTGGCTATTAATCCTTTCGGCTCTGTCTTGTCGGTAGCCGCCTTGGGTTTTGATAGGTAGCTTTGAGAATTTGCTGGTTTGACAAACATGACAAGGACCTGCTGTGCGATGGGTTGGACTGTATGTCACTTTGTTGTTCCCCCCTTTTGCCAACATCCTTTGAACTCTGCCTGACGTATGCCCAAGTCTCCAGTGCCACAGAATGGTTGGAATTGGGTTGAATGGGGAGGCTGGAATGTCCTTGCTGCTCAAGGATTTCAGTGATACCTTGTCTTCCTCAGCAGTGGAGGGCTCTGCTGCACACCTAGTCAGTAGGGCCGCTGCCTCAGTATTACGGCTGCTTGACTGTGCTGCGATGACAAGTGAGTGTCGAGACTTATCAACTGCTGCTTTAAGCACATAGATTCCCTCCCAAAGGTGTACAGGTAACAGTAAGTTATCTGGCATACGAACCCAAGATCCAGTTGACTTCCCAGACAGTTCCACAGTTGTCTCTTCTCCAAGAAATTGACTCATTGAAAAGATGGTGAGCGGAGTCTCCGCACAGACCATTGCTGTGATTACGAATGTATGTGCGATAGTAACATTTCCATTGCTTGTAATTGCACATTGCACTCTCATTTCTCCTTCTTCCTCGCACGTAAATGTCTCCCCGCTGGCTGTGCTGACAACAGTGGCTTGTAGACTTTTACGCACATTCGTCAATAGAGATCTGTCACCGCAGAGACTGATATTAGCTCCGGTATCGAGTAACATATGGTGACAACCCGGTAAGTGTACGTTCAGGAACGCCTTAGCTCTGAGCAATTTTTCGATATCAAGACAGACGTGCACCCTGCGCATAACTCGTCGTACATGAATGTCACCTGATTGAAATGGATTATCTGTATCTGAGGCTTCCTGACAACACTCCACTTCTTCTCGTTCGCCAAGCCTCTGGCTCACATTTCTTGTTCTCCTATCCGACCTCTCATTTGCATGAGGAGCGGCTTGCCTCCGTGATACTTCTGTCCGGCTGGAATGATCAGGAGCAAGTCTCTCCATCAGTCGGTCTGTCAAAATATCGAGTTTTTCCTCCAGCAAGGCAACACGACTGTTGTCATACATACGAGTCCCGGGATCGTGCCTCATGCCCCTAGTCGCATGTCCAGGCCCGTGTCCCCTCTGTCTCCTTCTTTGCCACGAATCTCCCGAGCTGCCCGCAGTGCCGCCTGCTGCTCGTCCTACAACCGAGTCCTCCTGCTCTTCGTCAGATTGCACCCGAGGCTGGTGATCATCACGGTGCGGGATCAGAGGGCCCGTCCAGTGCTCTCGTCGTCCTCTGCAACCTGGTTGCATCCGCCCTCGTCCCCCACGATTGGCTCCCTTCCCTCTTGGATTGAAGCGACCTCTCCCATCGTGTTGCCTGTATGATGGAGCTCCTTCGCAGCTGCCGTTGCTGCGATCTGCCGCGTGAGGGATTTCGCCATTGTCCTCGCCGATGAGTGTTACCATGGGCCTGCCAGGGAGAATGATCAGGGGCTTGTTGCTGATCATACCGGATCGGATTGCCATCCGGGAGTGACTGCGAGTCACGCCATCCTCCGCCGCGCGAGTCCGAACCACGATGTCTCCCATGCTGGAATCCTCGTCCCGGTACATCGTTATTCCTGCCATGTCGAGCACCACTTGATCCTGGCTCTGACGATGGATGATCGGAATGTTTGGTGGCCCCTATTTGAGCATGGCCCAAGTTGGCTGTCTTATGATGACGCAGTGTAGGCCCTTCATACTGTCTTCGCGCCTTGTGCTCGGCGTAGATATTAGAAATTCTGCGCTGAACTTCCGACATGGTTATCAATCTTCCCTCAGCAGCCTGTATCCTCCCCAAGAAAGATACTTCGTCGATCTTCGACGTCTTACATTTGCCCAGAAGACTCCGCACTAATTCCTTTTCCAAGTCAACAATTTCTTGAGTGCCACCCGTCGAGATCGCTTCTTTCCTCTTCAACTGCTTGAGGAGCGAGCAAACCTCTAGTGGGATGTCAAGCAGTTTCTCGAAGTCATCAACTTCAGCCTCCGAGACTAGACTCTTGACGCGGTCAATCAGATTCCTCGGTGCTGTACGGTTCCTGAATTGAAGTGATATCCAATATTTCACATAAGAGAATCCGAGGTATCCAGACAGAGGATAATCTTCTTGCCCCGACAGTCGTAATGCTCTAGGAAAGATCTCCGTCAGTCGATTTTTGAAGAACTGATTGATTTCTTCCGTAATCTCCATCACGTCTTTGTATAGGACCGTAATGCCCTGTACTGTTTTATCATTTGTCAAATCCCAAGGTAATCTCTGCCTCAGTCTTGCCCTTCTGCTTTCCCCGCTGGCAGTGACTTCTGCATCGATTAACCACTGGTAGTTTTCTTGGTCTTCAGGCTCCTGTTCCTGTTCCTCCTGGAACTCGTCGAAACATCTCTTCAGATCGGTTACAGTTGCCTCTACTCGCTTGATGGACTTGAACGGCCAGTTTTTCCTGAGAAAAACTCCCACGACGATTCCTTTCCATTCGATTGTCGTGTAAAACTTTCCTTCGTCATCATCGAAATCTACATGCTCTTCCCAAGACGTAAGACTCTTCTCCAGCCTGGAACCCAAGTTTACACCGTCTTCTTCGGTGATCGGGAACAATGACAAGATATTCATGAACACGTCTCGTAGTCCTGGCCTGACTCGTTCGAGAGTTGTGAAAAACGGATTGAGCGTACCCCACATTTCCTCCTCCGTTTTGAAAACATTGTTGCCCGAATTATCCTTCAACTTGGTCGGATCGATGCTTGTTTTTGAGAAAGCTTCATGAATTTCCATTGCCATTTTGATATCAGAACCCATGTTTGACTCCAGGCTCAGCTGTTACTACCGTTGTCACTCCACAGATACTCTCCAGCTGATGTCACTCCGAATGTGAGAGTAAGAGTCCACTGGTTGCCGTGATACAAGGTTTCTCGAGAAATAGAATATCTAGGCACTGATATTCTAAAATTTTTAGAATATGTTGAAGTTCCCAGTAACCTTCTCTCCACAGACCGTGGTGACACAGTCGACTGCAAGTTTCTGTAGCAGTGGTAATAGATATCACGAATGGCCGCGCAGGAAAGATATCAGGATACAGAGAACAAACGGAGGTGATAAGAGATTGGTATGGATGGTCAAGCTTGTTTACTTCAAGCAATCCAGTCTCACAGAGACCATACACCTCGTTCTCCTTTCCCTGTCCTGCAAATGCGTGCGCCCCTTCTTCCTCTTCCTCGGTCCCTAAAATAGGGACTGCCCGGTCCTAGGAACTACCACTACCGGTACTCTACGCTTCTTATCTGCGATATGATTCTTCGACCGGTCCGAGGCCTGGTTCCGTACCTTGAGGGTCCCCTGAGAAAGAGTCATAGGCTTGACATGACGAGGTCTTCGATTCTCATCCAACGCTCTCTGTGAAGTTGACGTAGCTGCTCCCTTGACCTTGACAGGTCCTGTGTCTCCGTAGGAGCATGCTTGGAGGTGGTCTCGTGCATTCCTTGTATGTCCTCCGCTAAGATGATCATGATAGTACTGTCTTCTTTGATCAGACCCCTTGTTCTCCCATGTCCATGACTTCAGGGGTGATACTTCCAATCTCCCCTTGAGCGTAGCCGTATCCTGCCACCGTGTCATCTGCTGTCCTGTCGTGGACTGATATAAGCTGACTCGCTTATCTCCTGCTGCCATCCACGAGTCCTAAGTTCTTGCTGTCTTCTTCATGATTCTCCTACGTCGTCCTTATTGTAGCTGTTGCTGTCTTCTCCAGGGATGCATTCCGAGGCTCTAAGCATCTGTGCACTTGAGCCACGTCGATTACTTGGCATTGTCTGAGGTGAAGCTTCCTCCTATAAGGTGCTTCAACAGGGACTCCCGGAGTCCGGCAAGAGAGTCTGCCCGGCTTGGCCGGCCCCGGGGCCCGGGCCCCGCCGTTTCCCTGGTCGCCGTCACAGGAGCGGCGCCGCGTCTTCGGAGACTGTTTCGACTCATCGGCAGCATCTTCATCCGATGAACTTCGGAACCGTCAGTCGGAGTCGGAGGGTGAGCGGCTGCCGGTCACGTAGCTGCCGCGGTTGCGGCTGCTGAGCGGCTTGTCCCCGACAACCGTCACCGGGAAGGGTACGTTCCGTGGCAGTGGCACTAGCCTCCTGTCGCAGCCTGGTCTTACGGCAATTCCTGGGAGTCCCACCTACAGTAAGTACATTGAGTCATTCTCGTTCATACTGTACTATTCACGTATTCAATAGTAATCAACACTTGGTTCACATTATCTCTATAGCTGACATCACCCTGACTTCGGCCGTGGCAGCAGCGGGTTCACTGTGTGATGCTTTTGCTTGATGAAACACACCACTGCCAGTATCGGAGCCTCTTGAACCGTTGCCGTCTGCCTCATCCCAGTTCCCATACCCATACAACCCCCTCAGCAACTTAGCTATTCCTTGTCGTATGAGGGGTATGTCCTTCTGTCCAAAGTTGTCGATGCCCTCTCCAGCAGCTACATTGTTGGCGATTACACACAGAAATATTGCACATGATGTGCTATCTTCCTGAATTGGCACCTGCCGATACACCATCAGCGTTGCACCTGGTCATATGCAACGTAAGTGAACCTGTCCTTCTCTCATAACTCGCTTCTCGTATGTACTCTCTAAGCTATCGTCTGTCTGCCATTTGTAGCGGAGATATTTCAAGAAGCCTGTATGTTTCACACAGGCCAACCCTGTCGTCAGCCATGTGGCTTCACGTTGGTTGTCAGCTTCCACTTCACTGGCTGCGACACCGTGTTGCATTTTGAGGAGGTGACGAAGCTGAACTGCTGTCATACGACGCTCCCCGGCATTGTTACCAGCACAGAAAGCTACCATAATGCGGAAACAGGGCAGACCTATCAGGTACGCAACAGATACTTCCCGTTGGGACGTACAATCATGGTGATAAAGAGTTGAGGCAGAGAATTTCACAGTGAAATATTCCCCTCCAACTTGTTTCTTGCTATATTTCCTCGCGATGACAATGTTATACCTGGCGGGAAAGGTGAGTGAGAGGGAAGAAAGAATGTTCGACATTGTCTCACGGGCATGTCAAGCAAGTACACTTCAACACGTATCCACGGGTCCCGTGCAACGTCGGAACTTGCGGTTGTCGAACTTCTTTGTGGCCGTCTCGCATGTTGATATGTTCAATGTAAGAGGTACATTCGGTTCGAGTTCTCCAGACTTTGTGTTGGAGATCAAGTGTGTGGTCCACGACTGAGTCCATGATTGCAACAGGATTCATTGTGCATGCGCGTGCATCATCAGGCTTCATCCCTGTACGCAGTGATGTAACATCCGGCCGCGGAGGGGAGATGTCTGGACCTTGTTCACACAATCGCTTCCTCGGATGATAGGGAAACTGGATCGGCTCCACTGTCAATGTAGACTGAGGAAAGCTGGTATCCTCGGCGGAGGAAGGATTCGCATCAAGAAGACGATTCTTGACCGCTGAAGACTCATTGCCTGTAGGTGCGCGTGCATCATCAGGCTTCATCCCTGTACGCAGTGCTGTGACATCCGGCCGCGGTGGGGAGATGTCTGGACCTTGACCGCACAATCGCTTCCTCTGAAGGTTAGTGGGATACTGTCTGACGATATCCACGACGATATGAATAGAGGTGGAGATGTCTTTGAGGTAGGTCCGTAGTATCCTCCGAATGACCCAGGGCCCGGCCCTCCCCCCGGTGCTGAACTCCGAGTTATCTCGTGTTTCAACAAGTTTGAATAAACGCCATGCTTAGAACTTGAAATCAGATAGTAAATTTCTATCATGGATAGAAATTAGGACTCGAAGTTTGAAAGAAACATCCGGTTCTGCCTACATCGTTACTCAAAGTTAAGTTAAAATCAGTACGAGGACAATGAGGAGAGTCAGGAGGCTTGCCTACATCATGATCTTGACACATCGAAATTTTGGCACATACAGATATTCAAATTTGTGAATGACATTTCAAAATTGTAGTGCAAATCTTCTGGCTCACGAGAACCTCCTTTGGGGGCCAAAAAAGAAAAAGAAAGAGTTTCTTACTACAGAGAGTTTAGTTTTAAGCAGCGAGGAGGTCGAGGGGGGTGGGGTGGTCTGGTGGACCTATCCTCTGAGGGCGGGTAGGACCAGCTGCTTGTTCATCAGCCATGCAAACACTTCTGCCTATGAAGAACTTCGACACTCTCGCCAAGTTGTGCGGCCTTGGGAACCTGCAACCTTGTCTCTTCTCACCTCCAATGGATCAGCAATCCTCTCTTCAACAAGAATCTGCAGAGTCAGGGGCTCGAAACATGCCAAGTCTAGCAAAGGAGACGACAAAGGCAGACCGCGGTTCATGTAAGAAAGCTGACAACAAGAAGAGCAACCTGACTCTTGGAGAGAAGATGGAAATCATCAAGTGCTATACTTCAACAAACCCTGAAGTCTTCATGACCCAGGGCCAGCTCGCAACGATGTTTGGGAAGAGCAGATCCGCAATATCTAAAATTCTCAAGGCCGAGAATGTTTGCAGACTGAAATACATATCTGGTTGTGGTCTTCATGCGAGCATCAAGCGCTATGCTCCCAACGATTCACATCTAGAACTGGAGAAGCGAATCCATGAATGCATAGTAGAGGCCGGTCTTGGGTTGGGATGCAGGTCACAGATTTGCAAGTGTGCGATGAAAGTGGCAAGCGAGATGGGGGTGTCAGACTTCAAAGCGTCTCATGGCTGGTACTCTCGGTTTATCAAGCGTCATGGCCTCTCAAGGCCTCGCAGAACGAGTCGCAACGCGCACGTCGAATCGAACGAAACTTCTCCTACGCGGTTATCATTTGAACACTCGTTCATGCCAAAGTCAGGGGCGCAGACTTCCAGCTCCTTGAGACATCGTGAGATGAACTTCAAGGTATCTCTTGTACAAAGAGAGAAAGAAGCTGTCTTCAGACATCTCAATTGGAGCTTTGACTTCGATCATCTTGGCAATCCTGTAGGTGGTTACAGGATGGTGATGGAAGGACTTCAAAGCGCTTTTAGTGAAGATCTCAAGGGCCTCCCAACGAGCTGCTTGCAGCTAAGCTACATAGATGACGATGGCGACAAGATCCTGATCAACTCCGATCAAGAGCTTGGTATCCTCCTCCAGGACAAGCCACAAGCTGCAAGGATCCGCCTTTATCTCCATGCAGTGTCAGTGTCAAACCGACCGCCGATGGGACCGTCCAGTGGAAGTCTACAGCCGATACATGGAGCTTCATCTGTTTCTCTGGACATGATCGTACAAGGGCTGAAGTTTTACGAGGATAATCTTCTTGTTGCACGCCCACCTGGTTTTGGACACGTAATCGTCTGATGAACAAAAGCGAATGTGTGTGTCGAGTTTCATGTTAAATCTATTTGCTTTCAAATCACAGTTCATCATTGTAGTTACAGAAGATTATTAGATTTTGTTGTGTTTTTCAAAATTCAAGACATGTCAGGGCCTCAGCTCCATCTGTAGTAGTGAAAACCTTGATTTTGAAAGGTCGGTTCTACAACGAACTGACTGCTTACGCTGAAGCCATCTGCACTTACTGGAGACTCTTGAACAGGAAGCGGAGCTGCTTGTTGTGCAGGCGGCTCAGAGATAGCGTATCGCTTCTCCACATTCCTTCTCTTCCTCTCCTTGTAGACCATCCAGCCGATAGCCACCAGCACCAGCCCTGCTCCCACTGACCCGATGGCGATCCCCGCGATCGCGCCCGAGGACAGAGCAGGCGGCGGTATCAATGATATGCTGAAAGATGTAGCGTCGGGGATGCTCCTCTGCGAGAAAGCCACGTTCAATCTCGTCAACGTCTGAGATGCGTTGGCTTGTACTGACTCGACAAAGCCCAAGGGGTTGTCCACCTTCAAGTCTGCCGAGAAAGAGAGAGATTGGTTGGACCGTCGTTGCACGTATCCGATGACCGTCGGGCTGTTGACATCGGCGACGTTGAGTCTGAGTCCCTCCGCCAGCGCTTGCTTGATCTGGTCGGAGTTGGAGCTGAAGAAGGTGTCTGACATGGGCGAGACGACCTGCAATCGAACCGCAAAGCCGGAGGCCGAGCTTGAGGCTGTGTAAGTAGGTGGAGCAGCTGGGGCTGAAGGCGGACTTGGAGCTCCACCTCCACCTCCACCACCGCCGCCGCCTCCGCCTCCGCCTCCACCACCTCCACCACCACCGCCGCCACCTCCTGATGGAGAAGGCGGTGGTGGAGGAACATTCGGAGAGGGAGGAGAAGGAGATGAAGGAGAAGAAGGAGTAGGTGAAGGAGATGGAATAGGAGAAAGAGGAGTAGGAGAGGGCGAGGGCGAGGGCGAGAGAGGGGATGGAGTGGATAAGCTAGTCGTCGAGCTTGTGGTCAAACCAGTCGACGAAGGAGCCAGAGAAGATGAATCGCTATTCGAGGGAGGATTTGCACCAAGAGGAGTAAACCCCGAAAAATGATCGATCAAAGCCTCCAAGACCGGAGGAGTCGCGTTCGGTCTTGGGGTAGAAATCTGTCGCTCCCACGGATTCAATGACGATGAGTTGTAGTAGAACACGTAGGGTCGAAGATTTGCAGGTATCTTGTCAGGATTGTACGGGATGCGGATGGTTATCGGCTTCTTGAACCGCAGACCAGCTGGAGTAAAGATGATCACGGGCCCAGCTGGTACAAGCGTCTCCGTAGTTCCTTGAGATAGGTTAAGATTTGACACGTCGTAGACCGCCACGCTAATGGTCTGAGACCCCAGCAGAGCCCCAGCTGGAAGACTCACCGAGAGCCCGCCCGATCCTGAGATAGTCGCTGCCTCACCTGGCGGAATGGACTTTGTTTGCACCTGAGAAGGAGTTCCCAGACTCTGAGAGCAGCCTGGCCCGAACTGCCCCGCATTGCAGACACAATATTTATCTGTGACCACACCGTAGCATTTGTACTGACAGCTGCTGCCGTACAGTGCGATCCCTTGGCTGTCCTTCGTGCAAGAGCTGGGTGCGAGGGCGACTGTGGCGAGGCCGCTTGTGAGGTTTGCATTGTAGACCAGATAGGAAGGAGCAAAGCTCACACAGTCCGAGCACACAGCGCCAAGCGTGATCGGATCTCTGCCGTATGATGGGTTGACGACCTGCACAGTGAAGGAAGTGGAGTTGACCTCAGCCTTGACAAACACGGTAAGCTTGCCCGCTGTATCCGACCAGAGAGCATAAGACAATATGTCATTGCCTGAGACTGAGACATTGTCGGGGTTGCCGTCGATAGTGACATTGAGACCAATGATGGAGAAATTGCTTCCAACCTTGAGAGGAAAGTTGGAAGTCAAGAAGATGGTCAGCTGGTTCAGCATCGTTGCGTACGTTGAGCCGCTCAGCACGGAGAGTCCGGTCCACTGGGGAGTAGCAAGCCATGTACACAGAGACAGATGCTCGGTCATCTGCAGTACAGGCGTTGTTTGCACAGGTGTGCTGGTCACAGGCGACGAGAAGATCTCCTCCGTGGTCTCCACCGGATTGCTGCAGGTCCAGTATGGCTCAACTCGACACAGCGAGCTGCAACCATCGCCAGAGATTGTGTTTCCATCATCACAAGTCTCACCAGGGTCGAGAACTCCGTTTCCACACAACTGAAGAGTCGGCACGGGAGTACTCAAGGATGGTGTACTAAAGGTAGACGATGAGACGACCGGAGTAGTCGACGTCGTAGACGATGAGACGACTGGAGTAGTCGACGTCGTAGACGATGAGACGACCGGAGTAGTCGACGTGTAGACGATGAGACGACCGGAGTAGTCGACGTGTAGACGATGAGACGACCGGAGTAGTCGACGTCGTAGACGATGAGACGACCGGAGTAGTCGACGTCGTAGACGATGAGACGACCGGAGTAGTCGACGTCGTAGACGATGAGACGACCGGAGTAGTCGACGTCGTAGACGATGAGACGACCGGAGTAGTTGACGTAGTAGACGATGAGACGACCGGAGTAGTCGACGTCGTAGACGATGAGACGACCGGAGCAGTCGACGTCGTAGACGATGAGACGACCGGAGTAGTTGACGTCGTAGACGATGAGACGACCGGAGTAGTCGACGTCGTAGACGATGAGACGACCGGAGTAGTCGACGTCGTAGACGATGAGACGACCGGAGTAGTCGACGTAGTAGACGATGAGACGACCGGAGTAGAGGAAGAGGAGGAGAAGGCTGGAGTAGAGGAGGAGGAGACGACCGGAGTACTTTCTGGAGCCGATGAGACGACCGGAGTAGTCGACGTAGTAGACGATGAGACGACCGGAGTAGAGGAGGAAGAGGAGGAGAAGGCTGGAGTAGAGGAGGAGGAGGAGACGATCGGAGTAGAGGAGGAGGAGGAGGCGATGACCGGAGTAGAGGAGGAGGAGACGACCGGAGTAGAGGAGGAGGAAATAAGTACAGGAGTAGAGGAGGAGGAGGAGATGACCGGAGTACTTTCTGGGGTCGATGAGACGACCGGAGTAGTCGACGTAGTAGACGATGAGACGACCGGAGTAGAGGAGGAGGAGGAGGCGATGACCGGAGTACTTTCTGGAGTCGATGAGATGACCGGAGTAGTTGACGTCGTATGCGATGAGACGACCGGAGTAGAGGAGGAGGAGGAGAAGGCTGGAGTAGAGGAGGAGGAGGAGAAGACTGGAGTAGAGGAGGAGGAGGAGGAGGAGAAGGCTGGAGTAGAGGAGGAG